GCCTCTGCTGGGAGAAACCTCTGGATCTAGTAGGGAAAAACCACCACAGTTCAGTGCCCATCTAGACCTCTTTCCCCACCAGTTCCTGCCAAGTCTCACTGTATAACCCATCTCCACGCTCCACAGACTCCTTCACACCACTTGCACCCTCCCACACCAACACCTCCACCAGCCCCTCGGCTCTGCTCTCCTCCTGCGGTTACTCTAGGCCACCCAATGGCAGCACTAGAAACCATGGGCACAGATTTCCTTCAACAGGTTTTTTCCTCACCAGCTTTCTGCTCATCAGCCTCCTGCAGCTTCTCCAGAGCTTTCTGACTGCACACCTGCAGGATGTGAGCACAAATCTCCTCCGCCCCTTCTGCCAGCTGGTAGATGAGCGTTACTGCTGCCTCCATGAAGGGGATCCAGTGACCACTTGGCTGGGCAAAGCCTGATGAGGAGAGAGAGCCATGTGCCACACATGCCAGCAACAACACACGCTACATCAAAGCCCAACTCCATCTCCTCCAAACTGATGGCTGACTGGAGCTCACCTTTAGTCACAGTCTCACTCAGGCACTCAAAGAGCATGTGGTCCTGCGGCAGTCGAAAAGGTCCATCCTTCTTCCCCAGTGCTGGCTGCAGAGAGAATGGATGAGTTACTCTTACCACATAAGAGATCTCTCCATGCCCTTCCTGGTGGACACGCTGGAGGGAAGGGATGCCATCCAGAGGGACCTGGACAGGCTGGAGAGGTGGGCCTGGGAGAACCTCATGAAGTTCAACAAGGCCAAGTGCAAGGTCTTGCATGTGGGTCGGGGCAATCCCAAGCACAAGGACAGGCTGGGCAGAGAACGGATTGAGAGAAGCCCTGAGAAGAAGGACTTGGGAGTGCTGGTGGATGAGAAGCTCAACATGAGCCGGCACCGTGCGCTGGCAGCCCAGAAAGCCAACCGTGTCCTGGGCTGCATCCAGAGCAGGGTGGGCAGCAGGTCGAGGGAAGGGATTCTGCCCCTCTGCTCTGCTCTCCTGAGACCCCCCTGCAGTGCTGCGTTCAGCTCTGGGGGCCCCAACACAAGAAGGGCATGGAGCTGCTGGAGCGGGGCCAGAGGAGGCCACGAAGATGATCTGAGGGCTGGAGCACCTCTGCTATGAAGACAGGCTGAGAGAGTTGGGGCTGTGCAGCCTGGAGAAGAGAAGGCTCCGGGGAGACCTTCCAGCAGCCTACCAGTACCGAAAGGGGATACAAGACAGCTGGAGAGGGGCTTTGGACACGGGCATGTAGTGACAGGACATGGGGCAATGGATTTAAACTGAAAGAGGGGAGATTTAGATTAGATATAAGGAAGAAATTCTTCCCTCTGAGGGTGCTGAGGCACTGGCACAGGTTGCCCAGAGAAGCTGTGGCTGCCCCATCCCTGGAAGTGTTCCAGGCCAGGTTGGATGAGGCTTTGGGCAACCTGGTGTAGTGGAGGGTGTCCCTGCCCATGGCAGGGGGGTTGGAACTGGATGATCTTTGCGGTCCCTTCCAGCCCAAACCATTCTGTGATTCTAGGTGCACAATGCTAATAAAACCCACGCTAGGCCCATGGAGGGGACATCCAGTACTGCTCTGCACAGCGGGGACATTCCTGTCACTTTTGAAGGCACAGCGGCAGCACTGGGTGGATTTAAAGCTTGGCCAAATGATGATCTCAGGCCAACCCAGACAGTTCTGCTATTTCCCCTTAAATCAAAATAACTCTTTTGAAATCTCAAAATGACTCTTAAAATCTGCGTTATTCACTCATTCTCCACAATGAATGAAGAGGAAAACCTTTAGAGCATCTTCAGAGTTATCAACAACAAGTCAACTAGAGGCCCTTGCCTATGGGTACTCCAGAACCATGAGGTTTTGTTTAAGAGCAAGATATCATCAATAAAAAGAACTAATGATAGCTCTGGATCCAACACCACCTCACACTTAGGCTTTTCCATACGCTCCATATCAGTCCCACCACATTTTAGGTTGGAAATAAGATAACCCAGAAAGCTACTAAACCAAGTGTGACAATGCCTGAGATATTCCAGCATGTGTGTGGCTGCCTGATCAAGTTACACGTGATCAAAACAAGCTACTGCTTGAGAATTTACCAGCTTTCAGTAGCTGGAACTACAATCCTACTGTCTGTACTGAACTTCTGGTTGGGGAGGGAGGGGAAGGAAGAGCTACCACGGTCATTCAAGTATCTACAGTTCAGTCCCTTCTCACATACAAACTTAATTGCAGAGTTAAGTCAACCTAAAATAGAATTACAACCATCTTCAGAACATTGAAGAATGTTGTAACACACATTAATTCCTAAAGGTTCTGCAGTAATGTCCTCAGTCGAAGGGGCAAATGCAGAATGAGGGTGCTGTGTGTCAGGACTGCTTTTATGCTGGAACTCAACAAAAACACCCTAAATACTTGAGACAAAAACCAAAAAGGGTTGGTTTTAATTTTCAAAGTGCATTTAAAAAAAAAAAAAAAAGTCTAAATTGCTCCCCAGACAAAGAAGCCATCAACCATCATGTTGTTGTAAGTACCACATGGACAGGTTTGAAAACCTTTCATGTTTTATACTCATCTGTACAGCTGACAACTCCCAAACATCAATTAATAGGGAGGGCAAAAGAATCACATCACCAGAAAACATCAGAAGAGGAAAAGGCTTTACGGTTGAGGAAACACGGATCAGTTTAGAACTGGGAGTCTGAGGAAGAGAATTGAAAGAAAAACAGATTTTCTTGTGCACTGAACTCTCCACTAATTGAATTCAGCCTATTGCCTAATGAAAATTCCTTTGTTACATGGGCACTGATGCGCGCTAAAGCTTTCCAGCCAGTGCTGCTGAATGGTCTCAACCTACTTCATTTCAAAAATCAGTAAAAACTGAAATCACTTCTCTCTCCTCTCAATCCAAAGCATTTTCTCCCCTTCTTTGTTTCAGGATGACCTCGAGAACAAGCCAAGACTCTTACCTTCGGGTTGCTGGCGAGTTTGGAGATGGCGTTGCATACTTCCTGAGCCAGGCGAAAGTCTTCGCACGCCTTCTCCGACAGCCCCACTGTCACCAAGACATCCAAGTTGCTCCCTACGATCTCTGGCTTCCCCCTGTGGAATGGAACAGATGGGGGTATCACACGACCTGCTGCTGAAAGTTTGCAGAAGTATGGTGTCACCAATAGAAATACTCAAACCTTCTGCAAGGCACAAGGAGTAAGAAGGGAAAGGAAAAACAAAACAAAAAAAAATCCATCCAGTGACTCCAGATAAAGCTATAGCAGTAACAAGCAATATTGCACAGTATAATCCATACTCCACTAAGAGAGGAGGTTCTTCAAAGTGAACAACACTGGGCATACTGTCTCCTTGTAAAGAAAGAAGATTCTTGACTCTTCTCTCTGATCAGAAAGGAGCACAACTTAAAAGGGTAAGAAAAACGTTGCAAAACACAAGAGAGTTCAGCAGCTCAGGACTGGTGATGAGCGACGCTTCTCCCTTACAGGGGAAACAGAACAACACCCCTCCCCTCAAAAAAACCATGCAACCCCCCCCCCCATTCCCTTTCTACCCCTGAAAGGCAGAATTATGCAGTCCTGGTCTGAGGAGCATACAATTAACTGGGTGAAGGCAGAATCTAACGTATTTTTAAAAATAATCTAAAAAGTTCACAACAAGCATCTCTAGGACAAAAGCAAAATCACCTCCCTTAGCACGTTTGTGAAGAAGGGTGTGCTGTTCTTATGTCACATACACACACCCATGGAGAGAAGGCTCTGGGGTGATCTTATAGCAGCCTTCCAGTACCTAAAGGAGGCCTACAGGAAAGCTGGAGAGGGGCTTTTTACAAGGGTGTGTAGTGACAGGACAAGGGGCAATGGCTTTAAACTGAAAGAGGGGAGATTTCGATGAGATATAAGGAAGAAATTTTTCCCTCTGAGGGTGGTGAGGCACTGGCACAGGTTGCCCAGAGAAGCTGTGGCTGCCCCATCCCTGGAAGTGTTCCAGGCCAGGTTGGATGAGGCTTTGGGCAACCTGGTGTAGTGGAGGGTGTCCCTGCCCATGGCAGGGGGGTTGGAACTGGATGATCTTTGAGGTCCCTTCCAACCCAAACCATTCTATGATTCTATGGATTTTACACAGGATCTCATGGGATACCCCGGAAACCCACAGTTTTCTTTAAATCCCATGATTTTAGGGAAGGATATTAATTTTGAGATGACATCTACAATTCTGCTGCAAGCTCGTGGGATGGGGTGGTGGGAATACATTGGAAGGAATATCTAATTCTCAAATTGCAGAACTGGCTGTAAACTCCAGAAATGGCTCCAACTCTAGAGCCAAGAACTTCAAGATCATCATTATGCAGGTCTGTTTTTGACTGATGAAGGACTGCAGTAGGAAGAGCAAGAGGAAAGCAGCAGGTAAGCTAAATGCCAAAGGGTTACTGGGCTGGGAAACGGAGGAAATGAAAACCTTATCGTGCAAATACCCTTTCTGCCTCCAGAAAGGGAAGCAGATTCATTTCCCTCCATGGTAAAGGCTCCAGACATCTCCACTCAGCAGCTTCTCACTGTTCTTATCCAAACACAGACAAAGCTGCAGAGCTGTGCCACAGTAAACCCTGAGAAGGGATGGACATTCAGAACAGTAACATCATCATACTCAGACACCGTTCTGGTGGGACCCTGCACAACTCGTTTAATTCCAGGCTGCATTACCCCACGACCTGGTTACTAATTTTGAAGCTGCAGAACAAAGCATCAGCTGATGCAGCACCCATAGTTCTTCAGTAAAATTCAACTCCCTGGACATCCTCCCGCTCACAGGATCAGACCCTGGGCTCACCGTGCCATCATCCCCAGCAGCATCACCGCAGCACGTTGTTCTAGCGACGAGCACGGAGATTTTTCCGTGAATCGTTCCCAAAGCAGCTGGATCACAGCAGGCTTTATTTCATCTTTCTGCACAAACTCTGAGATCTGGAAAAGAAATGCAACGAAGCAGTAGAGAGAAGCAGAGATGGATGGGCTTCAAACCCACCAACTGCACTTCAATCTAACAGCCATCCAAGATCACAAACACAACTCAAAGCCAGGCAAGGCAAGTACTCACTATTTCTTCTAAGCACTGTATCGTTCCTAGCGAAGCATCCACCATGATGAGAGAGAGAGAATGCACCAGGCTCTGGGCCCTGGCCCTTTAAAGGGGGACAAATAAAATAATAATTAAAAAATGAAAAGGTGAACAAAAAGCAACTGTCACAATTACTCTCCTATTCAGAGAGCTGAGGACATCTATTGGATAACAGAGGTGATCCCTGGGGACAGGAAAACTTTCCCCTCTGCAAGCTGGAGTTCTCCAAGTCACCCAGCTCAAGTGCCAATGAGCACGACACGGGCTCAAAAGTCCACTGCCTTGTGCACTGCTGCTCCTCCCGGTGCTCAGAGACCCAACAAGAGGCACTCACCAGCCACTTCCCAGTTTGCTCTCAACCACAAGTCAAAGTACTGCTCCCTAGAGCATAAGAAACTGAAAAATCTCTCTATGAACAAATAAAGCCAGAGCTCAAACTGCAGGAAAGTTGTCTCCTGGCAATACTATCCAGAAGAAATAAGAAGCAGTGGGTGCTTTTTATTGCCCTGATGGTACCAACGAGGGTGAGGTATGGTGCATCTCGCCAGGGATCACACTTATCTTAGTGAATGTGTATCCAACAGGGTTTACCTGTGGGCAAGTGCTAAGCAAAAAGAGAAATACCACAGTAGGGGGGAGACACAGCTTCCCTCTAGTGTGGAAGACACAAGCATGCAAGTACCCAGCTCCCACCTCCAAATCCTCCATAAGGGCCAGCAGCAAAGACCCCATTAGCATCCTCTCACCTGCCACGCGTAGAAGTTTGTTACAAAAAGATTGAAGCTCGATCTGAATGAAACACAAATAGCAATGTGTGTGAAAGCACACAAACGATAACAACAACTAACCTTGGGTAGTGTGAGGCATAAAGAAACAGTGTATACTGAAAAATCAAGGACACAACCAACAGTAAGAAAACCAGTAAACCCTGAGGAATGCGTTGTTTACACCAGAAGCAGAATGCCTACACTTGGATAAGGCCACAGCACGTGTGACTTGTCTGCAAAAAAACCTAAGCTCTGGTAAAAGAAAGATAGCTCCAACTTCAGACCACACTGCGTACCACTCCTCTTATTATCCCAACAGGATGAGCGACTACAGCCATAAGAAAATCAAAATGAGGGAACAGACATCAGGCAACAACCTTTCCCACTGAGGGAGAGGTGTGCAAGACTCTTAGATGTGGGACAACTCCATAACAACAGTTGACTCCCACAGGGGTTGAAACAGCCATCCAAAAAATCCGTTCAGTCAAGAAGCCTGCTGACATGACCAACGTTCCCAACTGACGCTCCTCGTTGCCCATCACAGACCCTACCCAGCTCATCCAGGTACGCCTGTCTTGGTGCAGAGCTCTGCACAAGAGTGAAATTTATGAGAAAGCCAAGCGTGAGTGCCTGACACCAGTTTCATTCAGAGTAACTCTCAGCTTCTCCTTCCATGAGGTCTCCCACAGAGTTTTGCTGCATCAATTTCCTACACATTACGACAAACTAAGAGCAGCAGCCCAGCAGTAGGTCCCGCAGCACGCCCAGGATACTCATATAAAAACATCTTGGAACTGCACAAGCGTTGGTTAACACCTCAAAGAGAAAGCATCTCTGCTAGAGGAAGCAAATCTTCCATTTCAGCTCAGCACGAAGCGTGGCAACTTTGATTCCTCTTCCTGTCTACATCCCATTCCCAACAGCTTCCCGGAAGAAACAAGGGAGGGGGAAAATAACCAGAGAGAACCCCCCTTCTGATGAGGAAGATCCATACCTCTCCGAATCCCCGCTGGGGCTCAGGTAGAGCTGCCTGTAGGCGTTCAGCACGGCCTCCTTAATGCCAGCCTCCTTCGACCATATGAGCGGGAGCATCCTGCGGACTCCGAGCAGTGCCTGGGGCACGCCGAACTGCGAGACCGTCACAAAGAACTCGATGGCTTCCTGCACCACTGCAGAGAGAGGAACAGTGCGTCAGTGAGGTTCCTTCCTCATCCTCACTGGAGGGGCCGTCAAAACAAATCCCTGGCATCCTGCTCTCACAGCAAACCCTACACGCATCTGAGGTCACTGCTACTGTCTACAGGGGGCTGAAGTCAGAATGGGGTCACTAGATGTCCTGGAGGAAACAGGTTAACAATATTACAGCTGAATTTAACGTGATACCTTTAGAAGAGCACAGAGGCCATGCCTGAGAAGAACAAAATTCTCTTCTGGGAAACAGCAGCTTTGCTAAAAGAAAAGATCTCATGGTCACAGCAGACGAGCAGCTGAGTGCAAGTCCCAGTGCAATGCTGTAAGCACAGGAACTAAGGTGTTTGATGCATAAATGGGGTAAGGAATAACGTATTTGATTCCAGCTTGACTTCCAGTATATTCCTGAAACATACTGCCCAGTCTTCTGCTCGTAAGACAAGACAAAACATGAAGTTGGAGAGCATCCCCAAGAGCCACAGTAGCGATGGGAGAGACTGTTCATAGAGCCTGATGTCTGGTTAAATAGGAGCTTACACCAGTATTAGCCCTGACTTAAAAAATCTGAATAAAGATCCTCCATTAGACGAGCTGGAATGCTTCCCCTGCCCCCAGTCACACCAGAAGATACATATTTGCAACAGAAAAAAAAATAAAATTCAATCTTCCAATCTTAACTCTTTAATTAAAAAATTTAAATCTGAGCATACACATCCCTTACCACCACCCCATCACCCAGCAGCATACTGTCTCCATCCCAGAAAAAAAATAAAGCAAACCCCAAGTGTTTACGTATCAGGTGAGGGGCACCCTCTCAGCCTTGAACTTCAAATGACTCGTACAGACACTGAACTCAGGAGTTCACTTTTGATTGTCTGTGCTGGTTTTGCCTGGGATAAAGTTCATTTTCTTCACAGTAGCTGGTATGGGGTGATGGTTTGGATTTGTGCTGAGAACAGTGTTGATACCACAGGGATGTTTTCATTACTGCTGGGCAGCGCTCACATAGGGTCAAGGTCTTTGCTGCTTCTCACCCCACCCCACCAGCGAGCAGGCTGGGGGGGCATGAGAAGTTGGGAGGGGACACAGCTGGGACAGCTGACCCCAGCTGACCAAAGGGATATTCCATACCCTATGGATGTCATGCTCAGCATACAAAGCTGGGGAAGAAGAAGGAAGGGGGTGGTTGTTCAAGTGATGGTGTTTGTCTTCCCCAGTAACTGTTCTGCGTGACGGAGCCCTGCTGTCCTGGAGATGGCGAAACATCGGCCTGTCGATGGGAAGCAGGGAATGAATTCCTTATTTTGCTTTACTTGTGCACACAGCTTTTGCTTTACCTGTTAAACTGCCCTTGTCTTCTAGTTGGAGATATCCCTGTTCCTTGCAGGGGGGTTGGACTAGATGACCTTTGAAGGTCCCTTCCAGCCCTAACCATTCTATGATTCTATGAAACTGTCTTTATCTCACCCCACCATTTTCCTCACTTTTACCCTTCTGATTCTCTCCCCCCATCCCATTGCAAAGAGGGTGAGTGAATGACTGCGTGGTGCTTAGTTTCTGGCTGGGGTCAAACCACAACCGTGTGCAAACAGGTAACGATATCCAGACCTTGCTGGGGAAGCCCACACGCTTGCTACAGGTACCATACACGTTCTCAATGCAGGTGAAGCCTCAGAAGTGTTTGCATGAAGCTCTAGTGCCCAGACCCCTCTGTACCCCAGAACTATGGGAGTGGTTGGCAAGTGGATGTGCCAGGGAGGATGGAAGAGGAGGGAGCTGTGCCCCCTCTGTGCCCCAGCCCCCTCAGGGGTGGCTGATTTATGATAAGCACTTAAAAAAAAAAGTCTGACTGGTTCAAGTAGTTCTAATGTTAAATATGAATAGTTGAATTAACTCAAAGGCCTACTCACCAGCTTGCTCTACAGCACTGAAAAGGCTACAGAACCTGTTGATCAGGATCACTTCTAGCTACAGAATAAAGTAAAGGTGAGGTGGACAAGACAAGCTGCTCAGCTCCCCTCTTGTGGCCACCTCACACCTGGAGCTGCATCAGGGTGCTGAGCAGGTAACAGAACCCAGCTCCACTGGCCATGTTTGCTTTGGGAAAACCTTGGCAGAGATGATGAACATACGACTGCTCCCACAGGATGGGGGCTGCCACTGTAAATTAAGTCATTTTGGTCACCTGGCTTTCAAAACCCTTTTCAGCCTTGATATTTCAAAAATGGAGTTGTAAAAAGCCCATTCATGCCCTAATGCAACCTCTTCATGAGGCCCATTGAGATGGTGCTTGCTGTTCCAATATCCTGGAAGCACCTGTGACATCTGCTCAGTGGAGAACAGCTCCTCCAACCTTTTCCCCTTTCCCTGGAGCTCCACCACTCCCACACCTCCTCTTTGGCAAGGGGAAAAGATCTGAAAACGGCGAACAGGGGAGAAAGGGCCCCATGGCTACTTGACACACCTGAGACACAGCTGTCATACATCATCTTGCTGATCAGGCTCAGGGCTTCTGTGATTTTCACGGAGAAGTTGTAAGCATCTTGCAGGTATTGCACCAACATCTCCTGTTTGACCAGCTCTGTTTGAAGCTGCTCTTCTGGTACAACTTCTTCAGTCTTGAAGCCTTCTTCAGTGCACGAACCTGCACAGCACAAACACTTGTTTATGAGCAGTATTGAAGGCACAAGAGAAACAGGCATGGTTCAGGGTATTTTAACCCTTCTCCCTCCACCTCAATGACATCTTCCAAGAGCCAGACTTCCACAAAATCCAAATTCTGCTGTCAGCCTTAGCTACAAAATCTCAACACGCTGTAGAGCAAGTTCCAGTACTACAATGTGACGCACCCCAGAAATGCCAACTTAATACAAGGGTCAAGAAAGGCATGGTCCAGTTGGGGTAAACTCCATTAAAATGCTGAAGGGGTTAATCTGAACTTGACAGCTCCCCAAACATGGATGAGGTGCTAAAAGGAAATCAGGGCAGAGAACGGAGAAGGCAAACAATACTACTCCCTGCAAGTGTGGACAGCTGACAAAGTTGAGAAGATCAAATTATTTAGACAGGAGCCTTTTGACAGCCATGAGCTCAAGGGGACTGGCTATGGAACTTTATTCTGAAACAAACACCAAAGACAAAGCATGTGAAGTCTTAAAAACACACCCAGAGGCTTGAGCCCCAGATAAGCAAGACTTTGCTTGAATCAGATCAAGGCCACTAAGGGTAAGCATTATGTGCCACCACCTGTTCAGGAAGCAGAACTCCTGGCAAATTCAGACAGGACAGAAGGGTGTGAGTGGATAACACCGGCTTCCCTCCCCTCAGCAAACATTATGTGAGTTAAAGAATCAGAAATGCACTTCTAGTGGGAACATGGAACTGTTATGACCAGAAATGAAGTAACAGGGCTAATGTGATCCAGCAAATATGCCAGGCTGCTAGACAAGTGAATGATCCAGAGGTGGTGCAGCTCTATGAGCTGTCAAGCACACAGAGACGGAGCCTCGCAGGTCAGGAGGGACAGGGCATTCCAGAGGGTTTTGGCCCAGCTCTGACATCAGCTTAGACTTAGGGAAGAGACAGAGTGATCTGAAGCAGTTACCTGTGTAAAGTCTCTTCAGAACGGCCAGGATTGTTGCCTCCTCATCCTCCTCTGTGGGGCTGCTGAAGGGCTCCTTCCCCTGGAAGCGACCCAGGGCCTTCTGCGTAAGGCGGGCTGCACTCCTGGACAACGACATTGCCCAAGAGAACATCAGCAACCCGTCGGGGCAGAGCACAAGGGAAACCACCCAACTTTGCCCTGAACACCTGGCAAAGCAGCTCCTGCCAGCACCTTGTGCTGGGTGCCCATGTCAAGCTCTTCCACAAAGTAACGTTCCTAGAAACCGTCCCTCTACTCTGAAGCTCAAAGCTTTCTCGAACGGAGGATGAAAGACCAGCACATCCCTTGGGATAAACACCCTCTCAAACTACAGAGCCTTCTTACTTGTAATTCAGCTTCCTCAGCAGCCCAGTGATTCGCTCTGATGTACTCTCCACTGTTTCCTCGATTTCCAGCACCTCCTCTTCCTCTTCCTCTTCCTGCAGCCGCAGAAAGAGCTGCTGTGTGGCAGCCCTAACTTCTGGCAGCATCGCTTCCCACTCTTCCTCTGGGGTGACTGCTGGAGCTATCAAAAATAACAACGGAGGGAATGGAGAATACAGGAACTCAAATGAGACGCCAAACAGAAAGAGAAATTCATCTGGATTAGGAATTCTATTTTTTTTTCCCCTCACAGGTAGGCACTGTTCCCACTGCTGATCCCACCCAGACCACAGTAAGAATCGACAAGAATTCTTTGGCATAAAAAAAGAAACCACTGAGAGTAAAAAACCAACAGTTAAGAGAGAACCATCATTTTGCTATTTATTGCTTCGTGGGCAGCACCAGGTCCAAGGCTAATCAAGTTTAAGTTAATATCTGACCAAAATAATGGCTCAATCAGTCCTTGAGTTGTTGAAAATGGAAACCTGGGAGGGTGTTCATAGGTATTTTCTGTTCTTACCCTGAAAATAGGATCTTTAGCTAAATGGACTGTTCATCTAGATATGTACATTCATATGGTCCTTTTATAACACCACTGTATGAAAAACTGTTGTGAGTTTCATCCCAGTTACCTGTCCTTGCTGTCTCACATGAGTAAGATCTGAGACAAAAGCCACCACAACTTGAGAGCAAATTTAAGATGAGGAAAAATAAGCCCTGGCACATCCTGGGAAGGGAAGAGAGGAAAAAAGGAAATTACCTGCTGTAGATCTGTCACAGCCCCTCATTTCTTGCAGCTTCTGGACCTCTTTCTTCAGCGGCTCAGCTAAGTCAGTACAGCTCAACTGAAGATGCCAGGAAGAGAAGAAGAAAATGCTACTTATCCTCTTTTTTTCTGAAATGTGAGAATTCTCCTTTCTCTTCCACTCCCTGCTTTAAGCTGTCAATCCCCTCAGATAACCCTGTTTTTGGAATCTAGACTAGTTGGCTCTGGCCATCACCCTAGAATGGGAACTGCTGTAAATTGCCAGTACGAGGCTCAGAGCTCAGGACAAGGTGCAGCTAAACACAAAGAGCTGCAGCTCTGTGCAGAATGCTCCAAAAGACTAACGCGGATCCTAAGGAAAGAAATCCCACCGCGGATTCAAATCAAACTGCTGCAGGTTTTTCCACAACCAAACACAAGGCTCCTGCCCTTCACCATACCTACTAATTACACCAAGCGAGGGGAGAGCCAGAGAAAGCAAGACCTGAGCCCAGGAAAACCAGAATGCTCCCAGTTGTAGAGTGACAGGCTCTGTTGTCCCTCCCACAAGGCACAGAATGGCTGCTGCCCTGGCTGTAGCACCCTGCCATCAGCCATCTAGCATATCCATCACACTCATGGGAATTACCTTGCAGGAGAAGGGGTTGTTGGATAAAAACGCAGCCAGGAGCTGGATCGCGTTTTTGACGACTATCACGGATTTGTCTTTGAGGCGCCCAACAGCCAGCGACACCACCGACTGAAACTGAGTCAAAGGCAGGGCCTGGCACACAACCAGAGCAGAGAGTTATCGAGAAGACCTGGAGACTCATGAAAAGTCATTTTCCTGCAGACAAATGTACCAAGAGGCATAGATCATAGATTTAGAGAAAAGCCCAGGTCTGAAGGGACCTCTGGATACCTTCTGGTCCAATCTCTGTTGAAAGCAGGGACTTAAGATTGGGTTACCCAGGGTGTATCTACCAATGTCCAAAAAGAGCTTGTGCACTGTGCTCTTCCTTCTAGTCTGTCCCAGTAACAAAGAGCAGCGTTTAATTTCTGTTCCCCAGTTCCCCTGCCCCTAGGATTTTCGGTCTCTTGGGAAAAAAGACTTGCAGACACCACAGTACACAGGGACGATATCTTTCTCTGTTCAACTTCAGCCTCTGCCAAGAGCAGGGTGACAGAAATTCCCTCGGAAAACACAACAGGGGAAGGCAGGACTGAGGCAACGCCATTTCCCTTGCACGCTCACCTTGCACTGAACAATCCGAGTGAAAAGCTGGAGCACACGACTGCGCACGAAGCCGTTGACATCCCAGACGTGGGCCTGCAGCATATTCAGGAACTGGTCCCGAGTGCCACGGGCAGCTTCCTCCAGCTGGTCACCATTCAGCACCTGCAGCAGCACTTCTGCCATAGCCGCCAGAATGGCGTTTCGCATCACGTAGCTCTGCAAAAAAGGGTTGTGGAACCAGGAACAGAAAAAAAGACATGGCCTGATGCACCGAGGGGAAGGACAGCCCGGGGTTTGAGCCTTCTCAGTCCCAGGTTCCAGCCTTAAGTGAGTTTCTCCATTATGGACTTTTTGTTAACCTTGGGTGAGCACGGCTGTGCCTGCAAGACAGAGTAACCCAACTCTGCTATCCAGCTAGGTCCACGGAAGCCAAGAACTGATAAGAAAACCACTTATGGCTTTTAAGAGTAGTTTTAAGAAAAGGTAACACAATGACGAACTCATTAACGACTGAAGAACAACGGGCAACGGCCAGGATCTCAGACCAGTAAGCAGTCTCCTCTGATATCTGGGAGAGACAACCAGACAGTAGATGTCATGGTTTCTGTTTCCTTTGCATCTTTTAGGTGAGGGCAGAACCTATTCCAAAGGGTAGGTTTTGGCTACTCAATCTCTGAAAGAGGTTCTGTTTTCAGACAGAAAAACTGGATAGCAGCACCTTCACCACTTGGCTTCTCTGGACAGGTAATATTGTGGAAACGTACCTCTCCGTCCAAGTGACGCAGGAGAACGCTTATGTTGGAGAGCACTAGAGCTGGAATGTGTTCAGCCAGTTCTGTTATAAAGGTGGCATAACCCTTGATTCCAGAAGCATCACGAGCCAGATCCTGCAGGCATTTCTGTCCGATTTCCCTGCACAGAAAGACGAAACAAGGAACAAGCTGCCTCAAGTTGCTAGGGATAGAAGGACAAGCCTCGGGGTATTTTTCTCACCTTAGCAATTCGCCCACCAGGCCTTTCAGACCATAATCTGTAGCCCAGAGGCTCACAGCCTGTGCAAACACCGGGGCTACGTGTTCAAAGTGCTGCAGCATCTGCGTGATCTTCAGAGTGGCACCTTTCGCACATGAGAAGGAAGAAGGAGGTCAGGGAAAGTAACTGGGAACGGCTTCAGGAAGAAGAGAGAAGAGCAGGAACTCACTGAACATGTGATCATAGTGAACCAGAGCCGCAGCAAGCAGATGTGTCACAGCCTCCCGCGTGGCCCGGTACTTCTGAAGACCGATGCTTGCATTCTCCAGGACACGGTAGCAGCTTCCTGTCATTAAGCTAAAGTCATGGAAGAGAGACAGTGAATCTTGCTGTCACAACTGGCACCAACATCATCCTAGCACACTGCACTAGCCAAACATTTATCTCAGACCAGAGAGATTCTCCGTGTCTGGTATTCTTCAAAAACTGAGCAAACGACATCTGAAATTGAGAGGCCTACACAAGGAAAGGACGTGGTTCCTAAAGACATTGCTGTTGTCTCAAGATGGTTTCCCACCCCGCAGAGGGCTGCAAAACCAGCCCACTGGCAGATTTAACGTGTAACCCTCCCTTCCAGAAAACCCCTGTTGCTCATCCCACCTCTACATCCACTCCATCCCATACCTGACAAACTCTTCTTCCACCACCAAACCACCCCAAAGCTGACGGAGATCCAGCTGTAGCAGCTGTGTGAGCAGCCGTAAAAGCGGCTCCCTCTCCTCTTCCCAAAAGGATCCCGAGATCTTGGTACGGTTCTTCTTGTTCTAGAAAGGAGATTACACAACGTGGTACATCAGCAGCTTGACAACAGAAATACACCACCACCATCGTGCTTTCCTCAAAAAACAACTGTTAAATCCGCATCCTGGGATGTATCAGGAGAAGCGTGGTCAGCAGGTCAAGAGAGGTGATTCTCCCCCTTTACTCTGCTCTTGTGAGACCCCACCTCGAATACTGCGTCCAGTTCTGGTGTCCCCACCATAAGAGAGACACAGATTTGTTGGAGCGTGTTCAGAGGAAGGCCACAAAGATGATCCAGGGGCTGGAGCACCTCTGCTATGAGGACAGGTTGCGGGAGCTGGGATTGTTCAGCCTTGAAAAGAGAAGACTTCGGGGGGACCTAATAGCTGCCTTCCAATACCTGAAGGGAACCTACAGGAAGGCTGGGGAGGGATTTTTTACAAGAGTGTCCACTGATAGGACAAGGGGAAATGGGTTCAAGTTGAAGGAGAACAGATTTAGATTAGATCTTAGGAAGAAATTCATCAGTACGAGGGTGGTAAGACTTTGGAATAAATTGCCCAGAGAAGTGGTGGATGCCCCCTCCCTGGCCAGGTTGGACAGAGCCTTGAGTAGCCTGATCTAGTTGAGAGGCGTCCCTGCCCATGACAGGGAGGTTGGATTAGATGATCTCTGAGGTCCCTTCCAGCCTAGGCCATTCTATGATCCTACAGCATTAAGAGACATCCTGTGAGATGTACGGGAAGCTTATATGCCCGTATCAAATGTTACTGTCATCTTTGACCACAGAAAGGAACTCTCGTGAGACACTGAAGAGTGAAACAGAGAAGCCTGGGCATCTGAGTCCCTGCGGATGTTTAGGCACATGTTGTCCCTGTGGTTGTTTTCCATGTATGGTTTCATGGAAACACCGGTACTCCCCATAACTCACTGCTCTTGCTGGAATCGTGTTTAAATACACCCAGCTATAACACCTGATATATACCACGATGTTCAGCAAGCTTCCACGTTTTCTACTTCTATTATCTCGTTTTCCCCCCTGTCCCCTTACATACCTTCCCACCAGGATCCACCTCCAACAACCCACTCTTGCAGGTTTCAATTTCGAAGGCATCCACCAGGCCAGTCAGCAAGTAGCAGTTCATCTTGAGGGCGTTGAGGTGAGCAGCACGGTCGGCGTGGCTCAGTCCGGAATCGCCCAAGATGGCAGGAAGTTCGTTGGAATGATGGGACACCACTGAAGAGAGGCAGAAGGGAATGAGAACTTCTCACCAGGTCCCTCAGCCACCCTCTCTTTTGGAGACTCAGAGCAGCCATCAGATTACCAAAGACTTGTGCTCACATCTCACCAGCTGCAACACGGGCTGCCCCCTGCAACCCAAACCTGGCACGCGCTGCCCCATCCTGTCCCCACTGCCCCTTGGCAGCTCATGGAAACACTCGCTCAGAGCTGACGCATCCCGAAGACGTGTTTTCCAGGGACGCAGGGAAGGGGATTTTCTGTCGGCCTGCCCTTACAGCGAACACGCACGGCTCAGCGTTGTCCACCAAGATTACAGACCTGTCTTACCGGAATGGGCTGAGGGTGCAACCCAACTGGTAGAGTCACATTAGCCTTTATATCATCACCGAGCTGCGGAAGGGGAGCGATCCGCACCGCTCCTGCTCCGGCTAGAGAGAGGGGATACCCACCGCTCATCAGCAGCTCCAGGGCGTCCTCCTTGACAGCAGCCTCCACAGCTCGGAAGTGGCTGCAGGACAAGCGCAGAGCGTGAGGGCAGCGAGGAAACACCCCCGGGGAGAGGTGCGG